GGGAATAATAGGCCAATAGAATTCATTTCATTTTCAAAAGACGGAAAGCGCATTATATCAGGATCAAGTGATGGTGAAATTCGAACTTGGGCCAGTGAAACTGGAGAGCTCATGACGAGTTTATCTATACCCACTGGAATAGCAGCCTATGCTCTTACCTTGTCACCTGATAGCAAGCTTATTGCCCATGTACACTGGGATGGATATATTGAAGTATGGGATGGTGAGACAGGGGAAATTGTAGCAGGCCCAATTAAGGCTCCCTATGATCGCATGGTATCCGTTGCCTTTTCACCTGATAGTAAACGGATTGTCTCTGGATCTGAAAAGGCGATTCATATATGGGACAGTGGAACGGGAGTGTGTGTGGCAGGTCCATTTACCGGCCACGAAGATGGGGTGACATGTGTTTGCTTTTCTCCCCACGGCAAGTGGGTTGCCTCTGGATCCCAGGACGGGACAGTTCGTGTATGGGACAGTGAAACAGGGCATTTAATGTCATGCTTCGATCAAGATTATCAGCCGGTGATGTCCCTTGCCTTTGCACCCAATAATAAATATATTGTCTCTGGATCTCTATTGGGAAGGATTTTTATATGGAACAACGAAGCACAAGAAGCCATGGTAGGTCCATTGGCTGGCCACACTTCTTCGATTCGTTGCATTGTTTTCTCACCCACTGGCAAGTGGTTTATCACTGGCTCATATGATGAATCGGTTTGTGTATGGGACAGTGCCACGGGAGAGGCCATAGTACCTCCATTCACTGGCCACGATAGTTTGATCACAGCAGTTACCATTTCTCCTGATGATAGGTGGATCGTCTCTGGATCAGGCAAGGGCACAATCTATGTCTGGGACAGCAATACAAGAGGGGCTGTGACAGGCTTGGCCGACACAAGTGAGATGGCACCTGTTGCCACCTCAACTGATACAGAAAGAACTACTTTCAGATTGAAAGACAATTCCCTTCACACCTGGGATAACGGGAGTGAGCGGAATGTGATAGGTCATTTCAGTGGCCACACAGGTTGGGTGACGTCTGTCACCTTCTCTCATGATGGTGATCAAATTGCCTCCGGATCAGTTGACAAAACAATCTATGTATGGGACAGCAAGACAGGAGAGGTAGTGGCGGGCCCATTCACCGGCCACACAGGAGGGGTACCGTCTATCAGTTTTTCTCCTGATGGTAAGCGGATCGCCTCCGGATAAGATGACAAAACAATCTATGTATGGGACAGCAAGACAGGAGAGGTAGTGGCGGGCCCATTCACCGGCCACACAAGAGGGGTACTGTCTATCAGTTTTTCTCCTGATGGTAAGCGGATCGCCTCCGGATCAGATGACAAGACGATTCGTGTGTGGAACAGCGAGACAGGAGAATTAGTGGCCGGCCCATTCACTGGCCACACGAGTAAAGTGACATCTGTCAGTTTTTCTCCAAATGGAAAGCGAGTGGCCTCGGGATCAAACAACAGGACAGTTTATGTATGGGACAGTGAGACGGCAGAGGTTGTGGCAGGCCCATTCACTGACCACTCACATAGAGTGCTGTCTGTCGGCTTTTCTCCCAGCGGTGGCAACGGCAAGCATATCGCCTTTATATCAGAAGACGGCACATTTTGTAGATGGAATTATGAAATTGGAGAGGCAGTGAAAGTTCGGCTCCCTTCTTATATCGATTCTGTTGCCTTTTCACCTAATGGCAAGTTGATTGTCTCAGGATCATTGATTGAGAATATCGATATTTGGGATTGCAAGACGGGCAAGATCATGGCAGGTCCACTCATAGGTCATTCTCATCGCCTCACATCCATTGCCTTTTCATCTGATGGCAAACGTATTGTCTCCGGATCAATGGACAGGACGATCCGTGTGTGGGACGTGGACGCCGCCTTGTCTATATTTCGAAAAGAAACCAGAGATGCCGTGCTGACTGACATGTCCCCAAAAATAAATCATGCCTACAGGCACTCGGAAAAGGATATCCCCTCAGTACGCAGCATGAAAAGAAATATCCCAATTTATTACTGACACGCTACCAATTAGGCATCAGCAGCGCTGACCTTCATGCGAGTGATAAGGGATGGTTGGGTGTTGGGCCCAGATAAAGAGCTTTTATTTTGGGTTCCCATTGACCTTCGGGATGGTCTTTTATTTCCGTATACCCTCCATGTTATTGGGACGTGCATCAAGACTAGGGTCAATTTGGATTCATTTGTCCACGGCGAGTCATGGACACTTTGTAAAAGTGGTAACAAATAACATTTGGAACAAAATGACAGATACTATGAATGGAAATTTTTGATAACCAGTGAGACTCTCTGTTTCTTTGCCAGTTATGAGTAGAATCGTGTTTAGATACTCCACTTTCGGCTTAGCTACATAAGCTCTAAGTTCATTTCTGCTTCTCGATTCGGAATTATGCTCAGCTTTTGAAAAGGACCTTGAAGAGAGATGCTTGAAAGGAATAGTGACGATTGCATCTTGGACCATTCGACCTGACTCCCTTCGTGTCCCATAGGATGACTCGATTTAAAAGGCTTTCTACGTTGCGGTGAATCTCAGCTAAGGCCATTTAGTGCCTTTGGTCCCAGCCATGACGCGTTGAAGCACCTATCAAATTCGTAAGGTCGTAGAAATTGGAAAATGCAACAAGAGAGCACCGTGGGAAAGAAATAGAATATGAGGAGATATATACACACAAGCCATGTGTACTCTACGCAACCGCTCGACAAGATGCTGGGGTGACCATTGAACGACCACCTGCCCGCTCAATGAATATCACGGATTTTAATGGCCACGTATCTCGATTCTTTTTCAGCCATTTATTGAAGATACGTGGATGAGTGGCGCGAAACACGCGTTTGACTAAAAAGGAGATTAACGTCAATCCGGTGATCTGGACATCGCCACCCCTTTGGTGCACAAGTTGGGCGCGACCTCGATCATCGGATCCCGTCAAGAACGTGATCATTTCCATCGATAACTCGGATAATAGGTCTGGAGTACTACAAAAACTTCCATCA